CCACCATAACTAAATCCTGACCATTTAGTTTCAGAGCGGGACTAGGTGACACCCAGTCCTGCAGTATCACTTTGCACTTTGAAGGTGCACAGCACACCGAATGTGGTAACCACAATTGTTAGTCTAGGAAGTGCGTTTTGTGCGTAATCCATACATTCGGACAGACGATATCATCGGCCTACTTCAAATCGCACGGTATTTTTTCCAGCTGCCCATTCTATACCCACGGTCTGGAGACCACTTCGTATGTTCCCCAGTATTTCGTCTACGACGAAATTGAACAGGAACGGCGAAAGAGGACATCCTTGACGGACGCCACTGGTGACGAACAGCCTACAGCCTAGATTGTTGTAAACCCTTACACGACCGGAGGTCCGTCAGTGACCTCAGCAGGTCAACGTACTTCTGGGGCATTCCTTTTCGAAGAAGGAAGCCCATCAGAGTTTCGCGGTCAACCGAGTAGAAGGCTCTTTCAGGTCAAGGAACACTATGATCGTTGGCCTACGGTGGGTATGACGCAGCTCAAGGAGGACCTGACGCAACGTAGAAATGTGATCAATACATCCACGACCAGGCCGAAATCCGGCTTGCTGTTCATGGATGTTGGTCTCTCTTAAAGGCGTCAGACGTCGAAGTATAAACGAGGAGAGCATTTTGGTGACGATTGGGATCAAACTGATCCGGTGGTAGTTTTTGCAATTGTTGCGAGATCCTTTCCTGAAGACGGAAACGATCAATGATTCGCCCCAAGATGAAGGAATGCGCTCTCGCGTCAAAATATTGCGCAGTACGGTAGTACTAGAGCTTACGAGGTTATCACCTCCCATCTTGAAGGGAGTGGGTGGGAGCTCATCTGGTCCTGCTGCCTATCCTCGCTTTAGAGCTTGAATGCAGGACCGATATTCTGCTTCCGTTGGAGAATCGCTCGACACTGCCCATGGAGCTTCAGTTACAGATGAATTAACCTGGCTAGCGGCAGGCCAGTTGAACTGTTCGCTGAAGTATTCCGCCCAGCGATTAGGCCGTTCATCTGTTCATCTGTTGTGAATAGCTTTTCCCATCTTATCGTAGACTATTTCGCTCACTGGAGTTCGCCGACCTCCCGTGTTGCGCATCAGTCGGGACAGTCTTCGACTACTGCCTGATGTAGCCGCTACTTCCATTTCACTGGCCATTGTTGCCTAGTGTCAAGTAAGACAGGAATACAACTCTATTTAACCGTTGGACAGTCCAGGCGACAGCCATTCACAAAACAATCAGCGGAATTCGGGTCCAGGACAATGATGATGATGGTGATGAAAATTATTCAAACTGAGCATAAACAGCAACATCTAAATAAAATGGTTTGATTTTGCATTTAGAATATTTTAGCAGTGTGACAGCGCTAATCTGAGAAATTTATTTTGAAGCAATATGAAGGCACACGCGATCAAAATTACCTCCTGAATAAGTGGAATTCAAAATACCTAGAGGCAGGAATTCTCATACAAATGAAATGGTACTGGACTCGGTGCATATTGAACAGGGATGACTGGTCAGATCAGACAAACGAGCAGTTAAGACTGTCCGAGTGGCACGGGGAATGAAGGCTCTGAGTGCGGACAGTAGAAAGGATCGACTAGCCAATCGCTTCAGTAAACTGTGCATGGTACTGCTTCTATTCCTGGAATCAAACGGGTCTAGTGATCTAACACCAAAAGTGCTTGATTGCAGAGACAGTCCAATCGTCAAAACATTGAGGAAACGAAGAAGATAAACGCAAATAGGCAGGCTTACAGTTCTTTGGCCACGACCAGTTGGGTCTCTTCCCGACAGCAATTGTAGAATAGCCAAAACAAGGTCTCTTCCGATAGTTGATCCATTGGTGGATCAGGGAGGCGATCGGCAATTAGATGCCGGATCAGATATTCGGGAGGAACAGCATAATCCATATCCTGTGGCCGACCTATACAGGAATCGTGGCATGGGGAAACAAACGTGTTGTGCAGCTCGCTGGAGGAGGAGAACACGATGGAGAAGCCGGAAAATCGGTTGGAGTTAATTAAAGTCGATATCTACTATGAGTTACAACACGGGAAACGATACAAAAGACGAACACGTGAAATAACGTTTACCGAAGTCACGGAAATTCCGATAAGATGCATAAAGATGAAAACAAAGACCACTAAGTTACATACTACCGGATGGTAGTAGCAGCAGTAGTAGGAAATGTTTAATCAGTTTCATCGTCATTGAACAGCGCAACACAATCAAATGAACTCTGCTGCCCGCTGCCAAGCTTCCAATGCGTGCGAAGTAATAACGTGTAAGAAGTGGTTTTGTTTTGAGGGAGAGTAAAAGAAAGTATGCCTGTAATCAACATAGAGTATAAATTCTAACGATGCACACATAGCGCTTGAAACATTTTGGCGTGGAAAATGTTAAGTGAAGGAAATACCGCTATTGTCGGTTCGAAAAATGTCCTTCAATGTCCTCAACCAGGCAGTTTGAATCCTTTATAAGCCGACAGGGAAGATGGAAGAGATTAACCAGTTTTAGCATGTTATTTCCTGTCAGTGAAACTCGCTTCTTCGGGTTGGGCTGCACGGTGAACAGCATTGACAAGCCAGCAACATATGTAATATGGACAAGGATTGAGCCTATTTAGATGGACGGGGAAAGAAATTGAACCTCTATAGTCAACATATACAGTACGCGATCTAAATGTGCATACACACCTTTGAGGCATTCTGATTTGATAAGAAATGATAACAAGAACGTCACTGCCGTCGGCTGGTTGCCATATTATATATATATATATATATATATATAGTGTGTGCGTGTGTGTGTGTGTTATTGCCATAATGAGCCCGAACATCCCGAAATCAAACCTAGTAAATGTCAACTAGAGCAAGCTGTTACTTTGTCTTTCGACGCATTATGCCAGTTTATCTCAGTCTTGTTCCCAGTGATAGTTTCACTCGTCTTTTTCTCTTACTTGCCGTTTAAGCATGTATTAGTGGTTCGCAGTATTGAGATAATTTACCTTGGTAAGGGTGATGGTTGCTGATAATCGTATGCTTTGGATCCTGAGGTTCCTGATTCGAACCCTGTCATCGCCAATCAACGTGGGGTGTAGAAAGCTTTGCAGTCTACCCGTTCAGTACCACGACTATTTTGCCTTATGTGGTTCGCCACCCCCAATCCCAGGGACTAGGTTGCCGGTTATTGGGACCTCTTGAGTATGACATCTATCTTTTGCTGTCCGTTACATTATCTGTATTAGATGATCTGTTCCGAACTGTTCGATCTCGTTTGTATTACGTTTACCAGGAATAAAAAATGAAAAACCTGAAAAACGAGATCTCATGATTGAAACTCCCCTTGAGAAAAAATGATAGCCGTTTTCCTTTCCCTTTGCATTGCTTTGGTCACCTAAGAAAATGCAGTGACTGAGTGAAATCAATACTACAGTACAATAAATTTTTATCTTCTATGTTTCACATCGGTTTCGATGCATTCATCGTGTCAATGCCCCCACACACACACACACACAAAATCACGTCCATTTACGTAAGACATGGAAGTCATATTATGCTCAACAGATGAGAATCTCATCTGTCCACACAAGATGCCGTTGACCATAAAGTATGGAAAATGTTTTTTTGTGCATACGGACTCAGGAAATCGGCCGTCTCACATAATCTTGTTCTTAAATTTGTGCTTGTCTGCACTCTTTCACACTGTTTCACAGTGCCCCCAATAATCAGCCCTGGTTTGAAAGTAAAGTATTTCAGCTTGGTTCTAGATCCCTAACATTTTTGTCCCACTACCGTGGAGTTGATAGAGTTGTTTTGGTTTCTTTCTATTTCGAAGCATCCTGACGTTTGTGACACCTTTCTTGACAGGATAACACGTGAACGAAGGCGCTGTCTGTACCGAGAAAACGCGAAAGTCGTGTTGAATCCCCGAACTCGCTCCAAATATCAACTCCTTCCTGCTTGTACTTCCACATATAGTGACAGTATAATTGCACAGCTTGCTTAGTTATCGGTTAATGGTAAGACAGTTGTCAATCACCTAAGAGAAAGAATTGAATTAATTTTTTTCTCATTTACCACAATATAAGATGTTAGATTATTTCCCGCTGATCGCTGTACACGTTCGTAAATTGCTGAAAATTCACCCTTTGGGTGCATAAAGCGTTTCGTGACTTGACTTGAGACACTCTGAGGAAAAGTGCATACCATACAGTATGAACATCATGCATTAAGTGTTTGCGGGGAACCTAAAACTATTCAAAGGATTTCAAGTCATTGGGAACTATTTGTCAATTTGTAATCGCTGAGGTGCCCTGTGGCTGGAGGCAGAGGAAAGACAATCGTGCCTCACGACAGGAGGGTGCGAGAACACCATCTACGAGATCAAATCGATGTCAATTGTCTCAGTTAATAGTAACACTTTTGGTTCAAAGATCTGTCATATTTTTACAGAACAATACTTTTAATTTGGTCTAAACTAGCTGATCTCTCCGCGAAGTCCCCCGTAGGTGGAAGGCAGCTACATCTCAGCAACGACTTAACAGGCGGGCTGAAGCAAGTGTCAAGAGTCGGGTTCGTCGGAAAATGGTGAGTCGCCTCACCCGTGTACGCGAACTAGTCTCGAAAGACTGGGCGGAAGAGATCATATACTTTTCCCACGAATAGAAAGAATTCTGAACCTAGGCGCTTCTCTGCGAAAAGTCCCTATTGCCTTGTACGTCATACTCGATGCTGTATAGCCCAAAGATGCATCTTTGGATGAAAGCCGAATGAAGCTAGCTAGGGACACCGCACAAATCAAATGACCTTGAACTTTTATGAACTCTCGGGCAGGTAACTACCTAGGATTAGACTTACATGTGCGTGAGCTACTCTTGAGGTGTGGAAAATCAGTGATTCTCAGGAGAGAGGGCTTCACTTAGTCTAATGACAAGCATCTCAAATATTTTGAATGGAGCCATGAGAAAGTGAAATATGCACGTATTAGATGACCTTTTGCTATCACGTTGAAAAGGTCCCAAGTGCTACTGCCAAACAAAAAAACTGCTGTGAAACACAACTACAAAAGGTGAAAGTAACTGTGACAACAATTACTACCTCTTAGAACATGCAATATTCAGGAACAAAAGCACTCACCCTGCAGTTTGCCAATTATTATGCAATGAAGACAGATCGGATCCGGGTGCGAGCATATTCAGTGCAGCATCATACGCCCCTATGTGTATCAGCTTCAGCAAACCAATCATACCGAACTGATCACAGATCATATTTTTCGAGATATTCGCCACGAAATGATTAGCCAACAGTTGAATCCCGCCCGCACTACCAGTGCTTTGACCAGTGCCAGAATTCGAACTAAATTGGGAAGCACCACCGGGGACAACTGCAGAGTTGACGGGGCGATTCCCACTACCGGTGGATGCACCGAGGGGTATTGGTCGGGGCAGACCGGGATTGGTGGAACTGACCGCCGCCAAACTGTTGGTGGACTGGCCCGTCGCGAGGGTGCTTGAAGCAGTTGAATGTTGCTGTTGTTGTTGTTGATGATGATGATGTTGATTTGAGCCGGGAAGGGCTGGGAAATCTTGTTTTGAGAATTCCGGTGGAGCCGGTTGATTTGAACCAAACTGGCCCGTCAAGGAGTTGCTTGTAGCTGCATCCGCAGCTGGGGATCCTTTGGACATGACGGACACGTAATTTCGTAGCGGAGGTTGATTAGACAGAGATGGAAAAGAGCCTGGTGCGTTGCCACTTCGACCGACTGATGTCAGGATTGGCGGAAACTCCGAGGGATCCAATTTCATACCACGGGAGGTGGATGAAGATGAGACAGACAAATTGGTGGAATTATTAGCGGTGCTATCTCCGCTCAGACTTGTGGTGAACAAATTGCCACCGGGATTGCGTGAACCGGATAAGGACAAACCATCGTTTGCTGTCGCGGTTTTGTTTGTCGTATTGCTTGAACCGATTCGACCACCGTTTAGATCCGTTCCTACAGTTCGACTACTCGTCGACGACAAAGCAGGGAATAAGGAAGGTTCGGAAAAGTTTCGTGGTGGACCGGATGGAGCCCCG